GAAAGTAAATCTGTAATTCAGTCATAAACTAAGGTGTGTCATTCATCACACACAGTAACAGAATGTACATTATCAAGTAGAAATTCATGATGATAAAAGCCCCATTACAAAAAAAATCAAAAAAAATCTGAAGTGCATAACATGACTTGAGTTTTACGAAATCTAGAACTTTTTTTGCATCAAATCTAGAACTTTGCTCTCATTTTTTTGGAATGAGCATGGGAACTATAAATCACATAGCTTTTTGCTTTTTGATTTTTTGTGTAAAGTATGTAACAGATATGATAACTTTCTTTGCACATAAACTGATGTAAACCTGATGTAACTCTGTCTTTACATACATTAATTCTCTGTGAAGTGTGTGACATAGACAGTTATTCCATGTGAGCACCATGAAATCTAATGTATGCGTTTTAACTTTCTTTTTACCTTTACAAGACCCTCACATATGTGATAAGATTCTGAAGATGGTGTATGTGCATAACGTTATGTAACTCTGTCGTCACATACATTAAATCTCTGTGTAATGGGTAAAATAGACGGTTATTCATAAAACACAGTAACAGATTGTTCATTAACAAGTGTTTCCCCAAAAAATACATTACAAAGCACAAAAACCATTACAAAGAGTTTCACAAAAATTTAAGATCCCTAAAATTGTAAGGTAAAAAAGCCAAATATTGGTTGGTTTCCTTCCACGCCATAACCTAGCAGCAAATTGACATCAGAAATCAGCCATGTGTTCAGAACTGCAGTCTGGACTTAATGGTAAGCCAACCTTAACCAAAGTGTTCAGAACTGGAATATTGGTCTTTCCCATTCCTTCTCCAAAGTGTTTGCACCCATACCCTTAACCGTGCGAAGTAGGGGGTATTCTTTTTACTACTTCTTTAACACAAGTTAAATATCTACACAAACAATAATCATATATGAATTTCAATAAATTGAAGTTAATCGTCTATGACATATAATTCAAAGAAAGCAAGCAAAAATAACAAGTAGACCTGTTTCACAGACAATAATGTTATATGAAGTTAAAATAACAGAACTTAACCATCTGTGCATTACAATTCACAAAGTAAGCAAAAATAACAAGCAATTCTTTTTCACAGACAATAATCATATATGAAGTTCAAATACTCTCAAAAATATGACTTCACCATCCTCTCATAAAAGTGGCTAGTTATGGTGGGGTGTAAAATTTACAATACTAGTATATTGTTCTTTGCAATTCTTTAGTATCTCATCTTTTACAGACAATTCCATTAATGATTAATTTGAGTGCCGGCTCAGTACCTGTTCGGAGGGGTGAGGCTGCCGGCGCTGGAGCTAAAGGGCTGGGCCTGCCGGCGCTGGAGCTGGAGGGGTGGACTGGCGAGGGGTAGGGTTGCCGGCGCTGCTATGCTCTCGATGGAGAAGAAGGAGGTGCAATTGGAGTTGTTCGAAATCTATTGCTTGTGGAGGTTGAAGCTGGAGAAGGGAGATTTGGGAATTTTGGGGAAGAAGGTGGGTTGGGAATTTTGGGGAAGAAGGCGGGTTGGGAATTTTGAGGAAGAAGGTGGGAGACGAAAAGACAAAAAAGAAAATTGAAAAAAAAATTAAATTTAATGGGTGGCATGCTTGGAGGCACAAGTGATGCCTTTTTAGCATTCTCCAATCTTAAAACTAGAAGATCTCATGTGTGACAAAACTATTGAAAAAGTGACTACAAAGTGAAAAAGGTAACAACCACTAAAAAGGTAACTACCTATGGCCAAACATAATTTTGAAATATGCAAATTGTATTTTAAAATTTCATCCCAATTTGAAATATGTAAATTGTATTATGAAATTCCACCCCAATTGCCTTATAAATGCAATGAAAAATAACTCCAGAATAAAATATATAAAAAATATCAAAATAAAAATTCAATTTTTAATCTCAAAATATGATTATTGTTATGTGACAATTTGACATTGTTCACTGATATTACATGGTATTTTTTAGTATTATATGTTGACATTATTCACATTGTAACTATTATTTGTGGAATAAAAATGTGAAGCTCATATTTTGATATTTTTCATGTTTTACTTTTAGTTGTTTAGTCTTTTTACTGCTTGATAAAATAATAAAAACAACACTACTAATAATAACAACAACAATACTATTTTTATTTTATTATATATGTACACACACTTCTATTTGTATCATTATTATTTATCACACATTGATGGTGATATTGAAATAAATAAATGATGGTAACATCATTAAGCAAACACGTTGCATAAATTAGTCATACCCTTTAATAGTACACTACACGAATTTGTCTCCTCTGCGACGGAATTTTTCTGCCGCAAAAATGTATTTTCTGTTGCGAATCTTTAAATTGCGACAGAACTCATCTGTTGCAATTTTAATGTCACGAGTTTTATTTTTGCAACGGTTTGAACCTCGTCGTTGTTTGCGATAGTTTTTTGTCACCCGCCCCCACCCCATCCATGCTGCACTGCGTCATCTGCCCTTATGTTGCTAAAACATTTTAAAACTATTTCAAATGACCATTTAAAAAAATTCAATTTTTAACAAAAAGTGATTTTTGGGATCATATTTTTCGTCCTACTAAACGGTAGAAAATAAAATGGAATTTTTTTTCTTGAATTTTTTTCTCCTCAAAAATAAATTTTTGTGAGAATATCTCCTTCCAACCAAACAGACCTTATGAGTGAAATTGTATGACAAAATGAGCCAGAATGCTACTATGTTGCTATCCACTGCAGATTGTATTGTACAACCGATTGTAGCAGATTTCTGATACAATCGACTGTTTAAGGAACAAAAATTGTCGAGGACATGGAACTGGAATTGACGCCGCAGGAAGAACAAACGTAGCCTCACCAACCGTTGCTGCCTGGAGAGGACGCCGGCGCATATGAAGGGATGCTAGTTCGTTGTCGGCGCTCCTCTAGTTGTCTCGTCGGGTCATCTATGGACCCATTGTCGTTCAAAGGCGAAGGCGAAAGTTGCTATGGCGACTTAACATAAGGGGGAAGTCGCCTACATGGGTAGAAACCCTAAGTACATGAATTTGTAGAACTGCATATTTGAGGCTTGAAATGTATGGTATCTTGTTTGAGAATGAACACGACTTTATTTAAGAATGAACACTATGTTATTTAATTTTAGAATGAACACTATTTATTCATAAGCGACTATTATAATTGTATTATACAAATGTGTGAAAATGCACATTACGTTATTTATGAATGAGTAATACATTATTTGAGAATGAGTACTAAATTATTTCAAAATGAACACTTATTTTTTGTACAAAAATGAGTACTACCCAATTGTACCTTATTTCTAGTACAACCGACTATATCATATACGGACTTGGTATTCACACTCAAAACTTTCTATATGATTTAAAATCATTTGAGCTAAAGTGAGGACATTTGAAAATAATTCAAATTACTTATCAGCGTGAAATTAAGCTAAACTCTTATTTAATAAAATAATGCTTTTAAGTTTGTACCCAAAAGACATTTATTTAAAAAATACTAGCTTATTTAATTACGCAATCACCCTACATCTCTATATCTCGTCCGTCTTACTGCAATGTGAGATTTACCCTGCATTTGTACATCTCTTTCGTCCTGCTGCCCTGGGATTGACTTCATATCTAACATCGAAATTGCCTGCATTTTGTGAAAAAAAACAAGACGTTTAATAATAAAGCTGAGTGAGAATATCTAACATTTGAGGCAAAGCTATAATTCATAATTGATTATATGATATCATGCAAACAAGATGCAACTCAATGCAATACCATCACATCATTCATTCTATAATCATTAATGACAGCGTTTCCGTTTATCCTCATTCATAAGCTCATAACCTATTTTGAAACTAAGGCCAGTTCAATCATATTATTCACAATTAGGAGTCCTAAACCTTCCCCATTAACACAAAGACTCCGCTCGAATCTGTGAATTCTTTGTCAGGTGGGTGAAATCCATGTTCCCTTCAGAATAGTAATTCTTTTCAAATTTCCGTACGTAAACTTTACTCGACTTTCCATTAGACATACTAAGTCCACCTAGTCCTACAATTCTATTGGGTGATTCTTGCCCCCTTAATCATTTTAGGTCAGACGTAGTGTTGTTCTGGGTAGTCGATCTTAATAGTTTATTTAACAACATTATTATATCTCTCTAAGATATCATTGTCATATATAATTATAATATAACAAAAAAATGCTCTAGTGGAGGGTGTTAACACCCACACTTATTGTCATGCAATACATAAGTCTTAGATATCTAATTTTGGTTAAAATCATTCAATTAAACAATTCATAGAAATTACATTATTTCTTATCATTTAGAACTAAAAATTGGATGAACTGGGTAGGTTGGAACTCCAAACAGTCGAAATAATAAATTTTTAACCATATCAGTTTGTCTCATTGGGTCTGTGTAAAACTCAAATTCGACTGGACAACATAAAAATTCATTAGGCAAAAATTGACTAGATTATTTGAAAAACTTGATGGGTTATATTCGAATTACCAACCTATTTTGTGGATTCAAACCCACTCTTGGCAAATCTTTTAATTTAGGATAGATCACATGGATTATTTGAATAACCAGACATGGTATGTTAATAACATAGTCATCTTCTACTACGGATCTATGCAATTAGGCCATAATCATTGTCGATATTCTAGATGTCATTTTAATTACAAAACTCAACCAAAATAGCATACACACATTTTTCTTCATGCGTAGATCTTTTTTAACAATTAGAATCGTATTTTTATGCATGCACAAGATGAGAAAAGATCATTACGTGTAGGAAATGGTTTTAAGTCACATTTATGAATAAAGTAATTGGTCTTAGTTTTAAATGAACTAAAAGCTTAAGAATTGACTATGAATTATGATATCTGAGTATTCTGTTTTAATACGTCGATATGGAATGTGTGCATCAAAATGTAAATGTATGTGAATATAATATGAATGTTTGTATACAATTGTCTTTCTGCCGTAAAGCAGAGTCACTGAATCCCTTGACACCAAGTTGACCAAGACCAGACTCCTAGGGAATGGTTACAAATCCTAGGTAGTGAAATGGAGATGCCATTCATCTAAAATATACTTTGAACGTAAAGTGCATGTGAAATACAAGTGACTTGATAAATTATCTTGCAGATATTGATGCGTTATGAAAAACTAGTAAGCATGAAATGACACAATATGTAAACAATATGTGTATGTTTACGACCGATTTATTATGTGTGATTTATATGTGACCAAAGAGATTAATATGTAAACAAGGTGTTGCATAGTATTTATTTGTAGATGTATTACCAAATTCTAGCTTTTTACACCATTTAGTGTGATTGTTTAGTGTGTTGTATTTTTTTGTCTACACGTACGCAAATTTGAAGTAAGAATTATGTGACTCATTTTGGAGAACTATAAGATGACATGATGGCAAGTTAATAAGTATGACTTTCACAACAATGTTACATTGTTTTATTTTGAGCTTGACCGAAGTTTATTCATTTCTATTTAGTTTTAGTTCAGTTTTAAAATGTTTTTACAATGACCAATCTGTTAATAAAGTATTGACACTTGATGCCTTTTGATTACGAGGTGGGGCATGAAAACTATTATAGGCTAATCACAATTTTTTTCAACTACTTATTCCACATCGTAAAAAGAATATCTTTTTAAGCTTTATTTTGGGACAATAGAAATGGAAAATGAGAACCTTATTTTAGAACAGAAGAATATATTGAAAATAAATCCAATCAAACAATACGTACTTTTGTTATTTGCAAATAGATAAAATGTTAAAAAATACTTCCTCCGCCCATTAATTAACTTCACGGCTTGATCGGGCACACATATTACTGCGTAATAAAAATTGTATTGACTTTTCTAATATAACCTTAACATGCCTACTACCCTTAACATTCCCGGTTTGAAATATCTCGTACTCCCTTCGTCCCACAATTAATCATAATGTTTACTATTCCAAAATCACGATAACCTTTACGGAGTATTTATTTGTGCATTTTTATTAATTATTTGATAAAATAAAATATTCTTGTCATTTTTCATTTTTAAAACTTATAAGGTACCTTTTAAATATGTAAATTTTATCCTTTTTTATATCTCAATTTTTAAATAAAATGAAACGAAAAATCTCTAAAAAAATCATCCCTTTGTGCGATTTGTAATCAAAATAAGGAGAAAGGGTGTATTTGAATCAAATCAAAATGATTTTTTAATTTATTATTAAAAAAATCATTTCCTGCAGCACCGAGATCTGGTAAAGTTTCCTCAGGGGCTCAGACTCATGTGTCATCTCTCCTAAAATGGCCAAACCAACACCGGAGCAGCAGATCTGATCGCGAATCTATGCCTCTGGGGCCGTTTGATCTAAGATCTCAGCCTTAGTTCAGAATTCAGCAGCCGCTAATGGCCGGAGCGGCGTCGGCGTTGTTCCTCTTGGACATCAAGGGCCGGGTACTCGTGTGGCGAGACTATCGCGGCGATGTCTCCGCCTCCCAAGCCGAACGTTTCTTCACCAAGCTGCTCGAGAAAGAGGTTTTTTTCCCCTCATTTTTTTGTAGTTATTTTCATATTTCTTCCACTGTTTCTTTCCCTGCTCAATTTTTGTTGTTGATATCATAATGCTTAGTTGTAATGCATTTAGTTCAAATTTCAAAATTCGCGGCCCAAGTGAAGATCGCAAGAGTA